GCGTGATATATCTTTTACCAATTTTATGCATCGTTTACCCAATACTAGAAAGTTTAGCTATCGGCCACGTGTAGCAAATATTAAGTAATTTATTAGTTTCTAGAAATTAGATAATTTTCGCATATTGAAGCTGAAGTAATGAAATACTAAAAAACTATTAATTACATTATCCATTAGTTGCAAATGTCCAAACTGAGCTTATTTGTCATTACAAATGGTGATTTGTCGATTTGTTTTTTATCTCTAAAAATTAAAAAAAAACACTTAAAACAAAGTAATGAGTAATGCCCCATTTTTACTAGGCATTGAAATGATAAAAAAGTGTGCCATTTAAAAACGTGTGCCATGTGGAAATGAATTTTATGACAATTTTTCTTAACGCAATGGCGCAGGTTCTTTTTAATGCCCAATTTTGTCATTAAAAGTTCTGTCATTTAATGCCAAGCGGAAATCAATTTGTGGGACAGTGTTCAAAGTCAAACATACTTAGTTAATCAGCCATTTGAGCGTCTAATTTTTCGAAACAATTCTGCACCAAATTCTATTAAAAAGGCTACAAGAACTGTTTTCTTTTATCAAAATGCTCTAAAAGTGTGATTTTTAATACTTTTTCAAATATCAAAAATGGAAGTACTTTTTTACCTTTGAATAACAAAACAACATTGTTTTACTTTGGTATCTAAAAAATAAAGCTTTGCATCGAAATTTCTAAATTTTGCATTCCCCTTGCAACGATTTTATGACAATTCGTATTATAAGTAATTCGGCAAAATATTTGTGATTTCTCTTGAGAGCTGCCAATAGCCCTTACTTATATACAAGCCGACCATAAATGGGTGTCTAACAACCATGCGGGGGCGTTAACTGAGGCTTGTCGTTGAGCAAAGTCGTTGTCTATACCTATTTTCACATAAATTGGTTTTGGAAATCAATTTAAATTCCATTTTTCCCCTCGGATTGTTCTGATCAACTGGCTAAGTAATAATTGTATTTTGTATAACCGTTTGATCCTAATTTAAAAATAGTATACTTTTCCTCCCATCTTCAAGCTGTTTGACAAAAAAAAATCTCTTAGTTTTCAGCTAGAACCACTTGATAGTTGTAGAAAACGATGCATCTATTATGTATTTTAGGAAAAATTTGTTTTCTATACAAACCTTTTCAGCGTTGCATTATCCTCAGTGTAAACATGACTCAAGATTGTTTACGATATTATAATCAATTGTACTTCTTCATAAGGCAATCAATTTTCTTAAGTAAATATTTTGGAACCACAAGCAACGAGTGCCGCAATAAATATTTACTCTTTACTTAAGTTCTCAAAGGCCGTTTGACAAATTACTTTTGATTTTCTTATAATGACAAAGAAGATAGTTACTGAAGTGGCGCTGTTTGTAACTGCTTACATGCAATATTGCTTACCGAGAGATACTTACAGCTATCAAAAAATTGTTGAAATACTTCTAAGTATTTTTTTTTAAATACCATTAAGACAGCGCACTAGAAACTAAAGTGTCTAGCCACTTGTCAATAGCTCTCACATTACAACATACTTTTCTACCAACTTACATTTATATTTAAAAGAAAAAAATAACAGTTTAATTTTAATTGCAAAACAACTATGAATATTGTGAAATACTTACACACTATTGGTATTTTATTACCAAGCGCACTTACTACATTGTAGATTCACTTTTATTTACTACTAACAATTTTATAGTAGTTATTCGCTTGATTACACTAATCGCTCTCAATTTATTGGCTCACTCGTCGCTTGACGGCACATTTTTCGAAATATGCAGCAAGAACACCCGTTTATTGCACAATTTTCTAAAATTAATATGAAATCTAGCATGCCAATGTGTACATTAGACCGTACCACCGTGCCAATCAAACAAAAAAACACGCTGCACCCCCCTGAGTCTGTAGTATTTTTACAAGGCAATTTTTAAAACAATATTTTTTTTGCCGGGCTTAGGGGTGGGGTCGGCTTTTTACAGTTTTCGGAGCATACAATTTTTGGCAATTTTTTTTAATAGTGAAATGAAATAATAATGAAAAAAGTTATTATGTTTTAATAAAGTAAGTAGGATGGGTACGTTAGGGTGTTACGCATGAAATCTGGCGGGTAAGTACTTGAACCGGGTACTTGAGGTCACAGAACTTTGTCTCCTCGAAACAAGAACATCGATATAGCACACTTTTAAAATACCAAAGATATGATGAAAAATGTAACCATTATCTATGAATGCACTCAGCAATCGATCGATCGGTAAACATTTAACCTTTTCATGCACTCAGCTCATCGTCATTTACTCATGGCCCTTTTGTCATACATATTGTGCAAGATTTTCTTTCAAACCTACATACATAAACACCAATACGCATAACGCGCTGCAGTTGACATAATTTTTACTGTTTTATTTCTCTTATTATATTTTATTTAATTATGCATTTATCGATATATTTGGTTTAACTTAGTTATGCACTTTTCTTTACTGCCACCAGCACCTACTTGGAAAAAAGCCACTGACGAAAGTTAAATGAACTACAAATATTGTTATGAATATTTTCATGATAATCCCAGCCAGCAGAAAAACGTACTTTTTGCCGAAAGTACAGTTTTCGTACAGTTTTCGTATCCGAATTTCGTATCTTATTTAAAAACAATAATTTTAAAATATTTGTTCAAACTGAGCATTTGAAAACATGTATACATATTCGCCAGTAGCTGAGTGTGCAGAGAAGTGTGGTACTATTTGTTAGCTTTCGGGTGGTCCCGGTTTCGAATTCCGTCAGAAGCAACACATTAAAATTAGTTATTCAAATTGATATAATTGCTGAATGTTAAATTTGTTTTCTGTGAAGTTTATAATGAAATCGTTTTCAACGAAAAATTGTATCAGACAAATTTCAAGAAAACAGCCGAAAGCGCATCCGTTTTACAACCATTTTCGATAGTTTTCTGCACATATGTACATACGTTTCGGATGAACACTTTAGTGGGAGAATTGATCTGAAAAACGTCCGAAAACAGAATGAAACATTTTTTATACGAAATTGTTACCAGTTTCGGATACGTTTCCGGATATTTTGCTGGCTGGGATTACTTGTGCATACATGCATAAATATTTATGTGTGTTAAGTCGGTTAGTGTTTCGTATGTGAATATGTTATTAGTTTTTCTTAAACTTTCACTGAACACTGACACGCACATTAAAGCACAAATTCAATTCTACAGTTTTTATTTACCAAAAACGAAATTTTTTAGTATAGGAGCAAATCTCACGGGTTGTTTTTTTTTCTTTTTTGGTGTCACTTCCTTGTTACGCCAGAAAAAAACGCTTCTTGCGTTCATTTCAATAAATGGGGTTGCAGAAATAAATACAATAAAAAATAAATCAAATATTTGAACAATTTTAGCCTTAAGACGTTTATTGGCGAAAAAGTACTGAAATTACTCACTTTTTTCATTGTCACTCAAAAAATCTTAATGTTTTTTTTATATAACTTTTGGAAGTTTTCAAATAGAATTTTTATATTATAGGCAATGAAAGATGCCATCAAATAGAGCATATATGTGAAATCTCAAGAGTGTGCCACCAAATTAAAAAAAATGGCAACATGTAGAATATCTGTCGCAGCTATTTTGTACTTTTTCAAATTACGATTTTTTTCATTTTGAAAGTTTAAGATACTTCAAAATGTCAACGTTAAACGGTGAACATGTTATTCTTGCCATAACGAACCAAGCTAGAGTAATAAAACGCCAATATTTAATTACATACTTTTTTGCTCAGGCGTGCGATTAACGTGTTAGCTGACTGTGTATGGTGCTATGGGATGTAAACTTTACAAACATAACTACGTATATATGAGCACGAGTTGTTAGTTTTTCTGTTTTAGTATATCTTTTTTTAAATTTTCATTTAAATACGATTTCGCGATGGAATCCTGTTCTTTATGCAATATTGAAGATAATGCATTGTCGAAGATAAGTGTGCCACCATTTTCGACTAAAAACACGCAAAAAATCGTGGGATTTGCTCATATACGTACCTGTAAACTGCGGATAAGCTGATGGCAGAATTTCGCTCGTTTGCTTCCTTTCGTTGCAGTCCTTCGAAATACCAAAGCCTTTCGTAATACAATTTTCAATTCTGCAACTATAATTAATTGAAAGATCTTTTAACGAGGAGATCTTGCGTTATTCTGTTTGCCTTTTAGCAATAATTATTATTTTTTTAACAATAACCAAATGAAATACATTTTCTGCCACCAGCTATTTATTTTTAGTTAATCTAAAATTTTAATTCCCTTTTCTATATTAAACAGATTATGCGCCAATTTTGAATAATATTCATTATAATTTTTTTGTACTTATGGCTTCATGTAAATTTATTTACTAAAATATTCACTTTTCTTAAGTAATTTCTATAGCAATTCAATCAACTTTTAAGTTGTAGCGTGCAATAAAAATTATTTATTCATATACAAGTATTTATATAGGTTTATCATAAAATCATTTACCTAAATCTATTTTAGTTTCAGTTTTTCTTTCATTTTCAATCAATTATTTACACAAACTGTATGATATTAAATAATTTACGAATTTCTGTTGTAAAAGTTTTTGTAAAGCACCAGCAATCATTACCAAGTCAATAGTAGTTATTGTACTATGTATTCACTTAATAATCACGCAATAAATAATTATTATCCACCTTATTATATATGTATTTGTGATATTTGTATATCAGCAAATTGTTTCACTTGATTGATTAATTAAATTGAATTGAACAGAATTGATTGATTGATTGACAATGTAATTGTACATACCTGTATTTGATTTGCTAGGTTATGTTTACTTCTTTCTTCCTTATTGAACAAACAAAAAATCGAAGAAACCCAACACACATACTTATGCATTTTTTTTACATTTTATTGAAGAATTTACTAAATGTCGTTTTGGTTTAAATTTTTCTCCTCCTTCCACGCTATAGGTATTGTCTATGAGCACAGATGATTACCGCAAGGCTTCATTATTTGCAACCGGTTCCTTTGACCTGGACTTCCCCATACCAGATCTAATTGGCACAACAGAAATCCTCACAGAAGAGCATCGGTAAGTTGTGAAGTAATATTTTATAAGTAGTAAAAAATTCGAATGCAGCACTTTTCTATAGTTATGTAGCCGAACAGTGGGTGTAAAGATTTATTTTGAAACTCAAAAAAGAAAAGCATTTTAACATCTTTTTTAAAAATTTTACAAATATTTGATATCCAAAGTCTCGTCAATTACTGTTTAGTCTTAAAAAAAAAGAATGAAAGTCATTTATAATTATTGAGCTAAGAAAATGCCCTCTCTTGAATTCTAAATCGAGATTCCGTTTCAAGATTCTGGGGATTTTGTGTACTCATACTAATTTGCATATTGTATATAAACCAATGGGTAATGAATTTTACACTGTACATAGACTTTTCGAATTAAAAGTATGTATGTGCCTAGGGTTTCTTCAAATTTCATTTCTGGAAATATGTTTAAAATGCTTTCGAAGGAACTTACGACAATTCCGATTATTTCCTCTCGACTTGCTGCACCTATTAAAGGGAATCGGATAAATTAGACGACTTTTCCTGTTTTTTTTTTTTGTAAAAAGCATGATTAAAAAGGAAAGCTTCGCATAGCGTGTTTTATGTCTTTCTCGCCAATATTTTTCAGTAGTCAAAACTAGACAAAAACAAAGCTTCCCCGATTCCCATTAGACCATAGTCTATAAATATAAGCTCAGTTTAAAAACCGAACCTAATCAAGTTTAAAGTACGTCTGTCTTTTCTATTCATATTTTAAATAAAATTAATAAATTTCCATTTTTCATCCCTGCATTACACTCTGCCGAACGGCTCGGGAATTTACGAAACCAAGCTTTTCGGAAAGTTTAGATTGTATACAGAAAAGTAATTGCTCAGTTTTCCCAGGTTGGCGATTTTAAAGGTTTTTTTCAACTTGAAGTTTATGGTTCCGAGGAATCTGAATGTGCGATTTATTTTTTTTCAAAACCGGCCGCTGGGTGCGATGTGGTGCTCTTTGGTGGAAAAAAAACATGAAGGAACATTGTTTAGAAACATTGTTGAGAAACACTGTTTGCACTATTCCTTCATGTTCCTCCCATGTTTTTTTGCATCATAGCGCATCCAGCGGCCTTTTTTGAAAAAAAAAATAAATCGCACTTTCAGATTCCTCGGACCACAAAGCCCCTATTTGCATTTAAATTACTTTTAACTGTTTAAATGCTGCTCTGCCACCACAAAGTTCAAATTGAAAGAAAAAAATGCTGAAATGTAAATGCTAACAATGTATTTGTTTACTAACATGAATTATTCAATTAGCTGTGCACATTTGAAAAACATTTATTTGAAATTTTAATTAAAACGGCAATATTTGAATGACGTATGTATGTGCAAACACACATACATGTACATGTACATATCGTCGTGTAAAGTACAAAACCGCATATCGTCATTCTGCAAAACCGCATAACTCACATTTTTGCCAAAAATTGGATTTGCTCACACAAGCTCTTGGCTCATGCCTTATCCATTCGTCCTTAAATATACTAGCTAGAAAAGCGATTGTTTTATAAAAAAGAGAACCATTTTGAAATATATGTAAGTGTTCTTACACTCTAGAAAGTAATTTATGCTACCTCACATACGCGGTTTTGCATTTGTTTGATACGCAGTTTTGTACTTTAAACTACGATATGTACCTACATATGTATGTATGAATGTACATTTGTCACGAGATTGTATTGAAAAAAACCGGTTATTATAATTTGCATAAGCAAGTGCAGGCTTACTAACAAACGTAAATTACCCAATTCATTGCGGCATCAATGCGCTGAGCTTTGACAAAATCAGTTTATTAATGTAGTTACTTAAATTTAATTAGTTATTAAAATAAAGTGCATTGTAAATAAACAAATGCCGTACCATTTGGTAACATGTTACAGTATTACTTACTTACATACCCTTATTTGTGTTTTCGTTGTTTTTTTTTTTTAGTGAAAAACTTTGTGGACACCTACCCGCACGTGCTGAAGGCTACTCGTGGTCATTGATTTTCAGCACATCCCAGCATGGTTTCTCGTTGAATTCACTTTACCGAAAGATGCAGAAACTCGAAAGTCCTATACTAATTGTTATACAGGACACAGATAATAATGTAAGTGACAAAAAATTCACGTGTTTTATATAAGTACGAGTATCATTAATTGTTTCTCTTTCCTCCCATAGGTTTTTGGCGCACTAACATCCTGCTCGCTACATGTGTCCGATCACTTTTACGGCACCGGCGAATCGCTGTTATACAAATTTAATCCCAGCTTTAAAGTGTTCCATTGGACGGGCGAGAATTTATATTTCATTAAAGGCAATATGGAGAGCTTGTCGATTGGTGCTGGCGAGTAAGTAGAGTATTTCATTTTAGAAGATTTTTATTTTTTATTTTTTGAAGATGGTTTGTTGGGGCTAGTTAATGTGCAAAAGAAAATTTAAAAACGAGGAAATTTATAAAAGAGGGTTTGGGAACTAAATTTTGAAAAATATACAAAGTCGGACATAAAATAGGGTCGCGGCAGCTTACAAAATTTAGGCAATTGTTGTGCTTTTGTTTATTTAATGTTTATATATTTTTTTTTTTTTGTAAAAGTGTAGCTCGTTATCTAACAAAAGCCATGTAAGTCTAAATTTCGAACTTTGTACGAAATTTAAAATGAAATCTACGAAGTCTTTTTATGTATGGAGCTTTCCTCCCTGACTGGAAATTGACTTTTATTACGCCAATCTTTAAAAGTGGTAATAAAAATTTTATTGAGAATTGCAGATTGATTTCTAAGCTTTTTCTTCTGCTGGCCCTCCCGGCACATCAACCACATTCTCCAACTTTTTGGATCATAAAATCAGCAGCGTTGGTCCTCACAAATTTTCCGCCTTTTTAAAGATCGAGTGCAGTAGACATTTTAAAGTCAGTTAAAGAAATGAATAAGATTCAGTTGAAGCTATCAGTGGAAAGGCTCTTATAACTCTGTTTGGACTTTGGATGGGAAAGCTCGCATATCCATAGGTGAAACATGTGTATTTTGGATAATTGAAAGTCGAGCCTGAAAAATACTGCTGTCGTTAAGCAAGTTTATCCTAAAACTCTTCTCTGTTATATTTGGTTTGTAATTTCTTATCACACAACTCAAAAAGTTAATTGACACTCAATGCCGCTTTATTTAAGGATGGACTAGGTTGAAGTGACCAGCACACCTGGGCCCGTATTTATGTGCCCCCTTATGATACCACACGGATCGTGAGAACTCTCTTATTCAAACCTAAAAGTTGCCGTATTCCCAGTATGACGCATTGCCAAACAAGTGCTTTAACTATTAGAGAACATTTGTGATGTGGATAGCTCTGTAAAAGTTGCGAGACTAACGAAGTTTTTGGAACTTTCCACAGCGTAAATAACTAGGTTAACTTAGAGGTCAGGTCTAAGTCAGAGTCAGAGAGATTCAAACCGGCAAATTTACATATGTAATTGTGGAGCCTGGAGATGGCAGTAATTGCAGTGCCCCTAAATTTGCTTTACAATCCAGATATGTCCTCCGAGAACACCCAAATTTTCTTTTTCAAAGTTTCAGGCTCTCATTCATATCTTATTTTCGTGTACGTTTTTACACATTCCAAAGAAAAATTACGCATTCGGGAGAATTTTTTACTCATTCGGAAGAATTTTCGACCTTAAAGTAAGGAAAGTTTTTCTTTGATCCAGATTTTTGGTTCAGTGTGTTTTTTCAAACTCTGGTGACACCGCGCGATACAATTTTTCTTTTTTAACACGAAGCAATCAATATACTCACGAAGCTTTGGACCAAATATGTTAAAATTGAGACTTCTGTTTTTGCCTCTGATGTCAGAATTTGTTTATTCAGTGCAATGTAGAATAGAATCAAATATAAATAAAATGAATAAAAAAAATTCTGTAGAATTAAAAACAAATAAAATTGTTGAGTTCGCAAGGACGAATTTGCCCTTTTATTAATTGTTTTTTTAAGCTAATAAAGTACAAGGACGAAATTCTAGAATATGGTGGAATTCTTGTTAGTCCTTCACATACAATTTTTTCAAAAATAACTATTTCAAAATTTCAAGGTTAGTCAAGTATAGAATTTTAAAAGGGTATTATCAATACTAACTCGTTTTTCTACATTCTAATTATATTTTTCATATTCCAAAGTACTTTTAAAGAAATTCTGGCGTCAGAGGGAAAAACTAAAAATGCAGTTTTACTATATTTGGCCCACTGTTTCGCGAATATATTGATTTCAATGAATCAAGAAGCCAAATTAAAAGCAACAGCTATACATTTTTTATAATTTGGTTCGCCTAAATTAATAATAATAAAAACAACAAACATAAACTAACGCTAATCGATTTCTCTTCTTTTTCTTCCTCTCCTTTATCTAGTGGTCGCTTTGGCCTGTGGCTTGACGGTGACCTCAATCAAGGACGATCACAATCCTGCAGCACATACGGCAATGAGCCACTGGCACCGCAAGAAGACTTTGTTATCAAAACACTCGAATGCTGGGCATTTGTTTAAGATTTTCTAGTAGAATTGTTTAAAACAAAAAACAGTACTAAAACTATATTAATTAGAGAGAGAGAAGAACCCAACTACAAACGAAAAACAAGCAAACAATTATATATTTGTGTATCACCCATTATATGAAAAAAGAAGAAAAACAAAAAGCGAACAGCGAACAGCTAAAATACAAGCCAAGTGGAATTTCTCAAAGTGAAGCAGCAGAGGTGTAAACAAAAGCAACTGCAATCAGCAACGCATAAGTGGGGGCGACAAGCAACAACTGTGTTGGTGCGCTGCTGCGAGGGCGAAACAAATACACGTCTGCAATAAATATATCTAAATACAATTATTACATACATACATTTACATATTATAAAAAAAAAAAATTAGTAATATTTTAGATATTTAGTAAGCGCTGATGTGCAGCGATTGAGACGTTTAACTGAAAGAGAGAATTGTTATTATTTTTATACATACATGCATACATATTGATGATTGATGATTGTGCGTAAAGAAAGAACATTTTTAACCACGTTTACCCTATAACTTGTAGCGCAACGCAACATATATGAATAGCCTTAAACCCTGAACCTTTAATGAGAGTTAAACATAATCATGCATACTATTAAATACACACGCAAAACATAAACATATACACACACACACACATTATCTCATGCGAATCGTGTACATTCATACTTACTTACATGAAAACAGTGTCATTACTTGATTTAAGTTATTATGTATTAGTGTTATAACAAAAAATGTTTAAAAAATGTAAAAGTCGACTTTTCAAAAAACATCTAAAATGGAAACTATCGTCAAAGGTCTCCTAAAAGTGGAGTAGTTGCGGCCGCCAAGCGTGAGCAGTGACTTACAAGCGCGCTGCAGTTGTAGTCTGCTTTTAGGAGGCCAAAAAATGTCAGGAAAGCGTTATTTTTGAAAAGTGCGGCTATTTAGTTTGAGAAAAAAAAAATGTATTTAATCATATTAACGCATTGCTGCGAAGTTTATAGCGCTCTTATTTGTTTAAGGATTTTTGTGTGGAGATAAAAAATTACGAAAATGTTTTGAAATAAAAATGAGAAAAGCTCGAGTAAGGGGCGGCAGTATATTGAACAACAAAATTAACAAAGCTTTTAATTATGATCATTTACAGTTTGGTTGTTGGAAAAAAAACAAAACACTGCATAAATAGCAAAAACGTAGGCTACTGCGAGAACAACAAAAGCGCATTTCAAATTTTGATAAAATCAATTGCATGGGCCACTGAAAATAAAAGCTAAACGATTTAAATAAATTAGACATTTGAGAATTGATTATTTTAACATTTAAAAATTATAATATCGTAAAGTAATGTTATACATGTATTTATCACAACGGTAACCCAATTAGTTTACATACATACATAGTATAGTTAAGGCAAAAGTAAAACAAAAGTTATAAAATCTTATTTTAACACTTATAGCGCTCTTACACGATATGTATTTGCATATGTAAATGCTACTTTTCTGACACGTTCTAATATATGGTACATGCGAGTAGACACAAAAAATTAGCATTTACATATGCAAATACATATCGTGTAACAGGGCTCTTAGAAGACATATTGCAGCAGCGGCGTACTGTTCGTCCGCCAACACATGCACGCCTAGAGCTTTGAGAAAAAGCCAAATACTTTCAACCACACTTACATACACGTATACATATTTGAAATCTTTTTACTTGCATATGTGTGGACATTCATGTGAGTTGATATTTTTGGTGGTAACAATTCAAGAATTTTTAATGCAAATGTTGTAACTAATAGTGAGCAAAAAATGTTTATAACAAACAAAAATAAAATAAAATTTGTGAGCCAGCTGTTAAGAATAGCGCGTTGATTGCGTAAATACATAACTATATTAAGTTTTTAAGTTAATGTGCAAAATCTACACATAATGAAACTAATACTAATTTTTATTATTATTATAACTGTAACTATTATTTAATTGTTATTCATCTGCAACTTATGCAATTCTTTGTCGTCGTGTTTATTTTGTTTGTTTAATTTCTTCCTCCGCTTTTTGTCTAATTATTATCTAACTTATAGTGATTTGGCCCGACGTGAACATTTTTTAATTTAACGTGCATTGCAAAATAACTGAAAAGTAAAAATAATAATGATTAAAATTATGAGAATTATGTAATTCAAATAAACAAAAGAAAAACAATCAAATAAGCAAACTCAAATTTCGAGTATATACAACATACATATAAACATACATATTATGTGAATGAGTAAATGAAAACTTCAAAATACATTATTTACAAACAAACAAAAAACAATTACAAACAAAACCAAAACACAATTTCTTTTATTTCATTCTGCTTTTTCTTTGGTTCGATGTATTACCTCTAGGCCTTTCGCCGACTATGTAGGCTTGTGATAGCATTAATAATGATATTCTGCCTATCACGAAAGGTGTAACTTGAAGCGTAGTTTCTGCAGCGGTTCCCCCAAATTGATCGACTAAACCTATCGACGCCTCAAAATCATACTATGCTAAGTCTGACTAAGTCTAAGGTGACTTAGCATGGTATGGTTTGGAGGCGCCGATATGTAGCTTGGCGCAAACGTGGTTAGGCATAGGCTTCCTACCGTTCTACAAATTCCCTGAAATTTCGTATATGCTCTATTCTGCACTAAGGAATTAGGACATGTGGAACACGGTAAAATTGGGCGTTTACTCCGAAATGCAGGCTAATGAGGAATTTCTCACTGTAAGCCCGCCTCCTACAAGACTTTTTTGGCTCTAAGCACTAGATGTTAAGAACACAGAACTGTCTTATGTATTTCAGTAGACTAGTATCGGAACTATTTCTTGCACGTTTATTTGCCTAAAGTTGTTCAACGGCTCAGCGCCAGTGGGCAATTCGCAATCGAATGCCGATTTATACTAAAGCCAACTTTTCGACATAAGCTACTTTTCCATACGAACACAGATATGTACATATTGAATACTTTTTATAAAAATTTAAACCAATGTCTGAATGCAGATATGTATATTAGAGAAACTGGTAATCAATCAAAGTAGACTATTATATAAATATCCTCACTAATAGACTCTTTAATTTATGGGTCGATTATCGATAGCAATCAAACTTCAGTTGCGTTGCTAGTTGCCAAAACGATATTATTACTTCCTTCTGCAAAAAATGAAGAGGTACGCAAACTTTTATGAGCGGAGGTATTGAAGTTGAACGAAGGCGTTCATATGTTTATTAACCAATTATACTACAACTTCTTTTGGATATTCTCAATATGCTTTGAAAATGAACACAAAATGATAATAAAAGAAAAACCTTGAAAGCATTAACTTTTGCTTAGAGTGCAAGCGGTAGCTCTAGAGGATTGGAATTATCCTTTAAATGTCACCTGAGGCCGCGTTTATGGACTTCTCTTCTTCTTAAACAAATAATTGCTGTCTTTTCTTTAAAACTCTTTATTTTAATCTTTTTATTTTACTCGCACAGCTTGTTTACAGCCGCTAGCTGGTTGTCGAACTATCAAATTTCGATTATCGATAACTCTACAGCAACTGACGAAATTTTCCTTCTAGTTGCGTTGCCAGGTGGGAACCGAACCGTGGTTACGTTGCTATCCGTAATCGACACATTAAATTACTTGCGACGAAATCGAAATTGTTTGTAACAAATCTATTTGAAACTCGTCCCATAAAGGCAAATGCATATGTATGTATGTATGTCTTATCAAATTTTTTTTGATTTGGGTTAATTGGGTATTGTGGTATGAATCTGCGTAATTTCTTTTTCATAATTCCGTTTTTATTATTTTTCCCCGCTGTAGGCCCATTATGCGCCACCTGAGACTTGCTAGACCTAAGAAATTGATTAGGACTTTTGGTTTTTCTTTGCCTCTATCCGTGGCTGGTTTTATCATATTTTTACCCTGACTCTTTTATAGTAAGGCAGAATAGAAATAGGGTGCGGTCATAATCAAACAAACAATCCATTTTGTTATGGATCTTTATAAGTTCCCGATGATTTTATAGACCGCAGTGGAGATGTAAATAACATTTTAGTAGGTAGGTTTTGAAATCTTTTGGTAAAAATTTTAGAAAGAAAGCCATGCTCTGCTGATTAAAAACAAATTGAAATTAGTTCCCCATTTCTCAATGTTTTGATTTTCTCAGGGACTAAAACCGCGTCTCAGTTCTGAAAGAGAACAAAATGTAATGTCAAGAACGTTCCCGCAAAAGAATCAAACGGAAACAAGTATTGAGAACAGTACGAACGATAACCAACTGGGAACAAAACGTTCAGTGAAGGTCTCCGAGATAAATTTATGTAGTAAAAAATTAAATTTACACGAGAAGTGTTTTATTAGGAAGCAAAACAGCCACAAATTCTACGTGGTCAGCCGGATAGGCGATTCAACGGATGGGAAATCGTAAGCTAAGGTTAAAGAGAAAACTGTAGGAAGCCAGCTATAGAAATAGCGGCAAACACTACAACTAGTTCTATAAAGTTGCTGCTTGCGTGGATCAAAAAGGAAGAGTTAAATCGCATCAGCCCAAAGAAAAGTTATAGGAAAAGTGTCAGGAGGTTTCGAATGACTGGTCCTGATGTCTCTCAAGTTATAAGCCATTAATCTGGGTTGATTGCCAGTAGGGCGAAGCTTAGTTCGTAAATGTCAATAAAAAAGATTGCTCTGTAGAAAGTAAGGACTTCCGATTAATATGGTGGTATACGTCTGTATGTTATGTAGGTTTCTGCTATGTGTGGACTCGCCTATGTTCAACCGAACATCAAACGGAGACCCCAAAAGGAAATATTGGTCGGGCAACCATGTAGTTTCATATTCAGTCTTTTCTCCATAGCCCCGTTGAAGATGTGTAGAGTGCCAATGAATTTCCTGGAAAAGTCACCAAACACTGTTTACAATCCATCTGTCGAGAATTATTTACGCGCACATTATTTAAAGTGGGTGCCTTACAGACCATAGTTCAAGGGTGGTTACCAATGTATCTAAGTGCTAACTAGTCAAAATTAATGGACCCGGAAACACAAAGGATGAATTGAGAGAGCGGTTACATTCCACATCCGGCTCGCAGACTTTGAAGAAAACAGGATCACCTCATGAAGGATTTTATTTCGTGCTCTGTAATGTAATTACGTGAGAAAAATATAAGTCCAAGGCTATCGTAAGTTGTACAAACCTTGCATGCTGTAGAAATGGTAGCGAAGAATTTGGCGGGGAGATTGGTACTAAATCTGAGCAGTTGGGACAGCGGTTATAGGTAGACCAAACTATGTGAACATCATGCCAACTTTAATTGATCAAAAGCCGCCTTTTTAATTGCGCAAAAGCCGCATACCAGTACACCTTATTTTTATTTACAGATGCATTTAAACTTGTTAAAGTAGTTACAGCTGCTTTTATGTGGCAAGCACAATAACCATACCAAGTTTGGTACAAATTGGTGTATCGGTTACCGAGATACTTATATGTGATCATAAGTGGGCGGTGCCATGCCCATTTTTCAAAATTTAACCATAAACGTATTTCTTGGTAATGAATTATAGCAAGCATGAATTTTTATTAAATTAGCTTAGTATTTGCTGATTTATCGCAGATTTCGTATTTCTCTAAATTATCCTTTTATGGAATCTGGGCGTGGTTATTGTTCCAAGGCCAACAATTGGTGGAGCGGTTACGAAGACATGCACATGTAACCATAAGTGGGTGTGGCTACGCCAATTTTCCAAAAGTGTATAATATTCTTATTTTTCGTCTAGAAATTATTTTAAATATCAATTTTGAATGAATAATCTTCAGTGGTTACTAAGATATGGCAGCTTTCGTATTTCTGCCCATTTTCAAAACCATCCGTCTTACGCCCGAAAGAAGTGCACGTACCAAATTTCGTTAAGATATCTCAATTTTTACTCGAGTTACCGTGTGCACAGACAAACGGACGGACAGACAGACAGTCACCGCTTAATCGATTTCTCTTTTCATTCTGATCATTTATGTATACATTTGTCTATATCTATCTCGATTCGTCTTGACTGTTACAAAAAACCGTTATGTGAACAAAGTTCTAATACCCCTGTGCACAAATGCGGTAGGGTATAAAAATCTGATCTCACGTATACGGACTGCACATACACTCACTCCATTGTATCTGCGCACACACGTTTTTTTTTTGGGGTTCAAGCCCTGGTCAAAGCAACACCTCAAAAAAAATTTGAAAGAAGGGTTTTAATTAACAGCGGTCGCCCCTCGGCAGACAATGGCAAACCTCCGAGTGAATTTCTGCCATGAAAAACAGCTTCTCATAAAAATACAATCGCCGTTCGGAGTCGGCCCGTACGTCCCTCCCCTTTGTGTGACAACATAAAGGCGCACGCCACAAATCGGGTGAGAAGTTCGGCCAAATACTAACATATGTGTAGGCGCCAACAATCTATAAATGTTGTTTTGTACATGAACCATGCTTTACACAAAACCAGGTACTACATAACTCAAAGCTTCAAACTGTACAAAAAACTAAGGAAGATTTAACAAATTTTCAATAAAATTTTAAACTCTTTGCTCTTTATATCTATATATGTTTATTCAACGATATGCGTATATTTACGTATTTTCTTCCATATAAAAAACATTCGCTCATGCCTTTTATGGAGAAAAATGCTTAGTGCCGTCAGCAAAAAAAAATTATTAAAAATCAACCCGATTTCTAAGCCACTTCAAATTTGTACATTGATATAGTAAAATTGAATGGGCTATAAAACTGCATACCAGAAACTTTTTTTTTAAATCGTGAAGTAGATTTCTAGCTATGTATGCACATCTGTGTGTACGCATGTACAAATGTGTGCATGGATGTGCATAAAAATACATACATATGGAATAGAAAAAAATTTTACCGAAATACCTATTATACTATT